TAAGTAGACAATGAAGAAAACTAGAGGTGTACCGGATATTTTTGCTGGATATGCAGGATATTGAACTTTTCTAAAGTTCTATAAGTGTTTATGAAGAAAAAAAAAGTCTTGCTAGCCTACAATATATAGTATTCAAGATCTTATTTTTAAAAAATCAAGAAAAAAACTGTATGACATGAGATATGTGCTGACAAAGTATAGGAAATAGTAATTAAAAAGAAACAAAAATTTGGTTGTAAAAACAATTTTTCCTTATACATTATTAACGCATATATCTGTGTTATACCAGTTTTTTCTTAATTTTATTTTTTTAAATCTTAAACACTATTTAATGTCGAATCCCAAGACTTGCTTTTTCTTCATAAACACTTATAGAACATTAGAAAAGTTTAATATCCGGCATATCCAGCAAAAATATCCGGTACACCTCTAAAGAAAACTTTACTTAGTTTATTGCTTATGTAACAAAAATAGGTTAAAAAAAACAATTTTGTTAGTTAGAATGAAGTCTATTGCCTCATACTTTTTGTCTAACAAAATTCCCAAAATCAAAGTAACATTTGAGTCTCATTACTGTCGAAAAGATACCAAAAGACTCTACCTAGTTGATGACTAGATATCTAAGGCTGAGCATTCAGGTACAATATATCTAGATTAAGGATTTATAGCTCTGGGGTCAATATATTCTTTCATACAAAGTTTAAATAAGTTTAGCGTCTTATTTAAACTTTCTGCTCAAGTTCCGTAATCTAAACTTTAGACCATAATATAAAAATTTGTAATGAACACTTCAAACCTTATCTGATGTTCTAGAACTTAACTAATATAACTGGTACAAAATTTTTTTTATCGAAGTTGTTAAATATTTAATATAATTCAGTTGTTTTCAAACTTCTTTAAAGAACGTATCTAAATTACAATTTCTTCTTCTTTTTCTCTCTTAAAATTTGATTTTTTTTTTACTTAATACTTTTTATTTTTTCAAATTTTGAAAAATTTATGCGTTGAGGAAAAGGGATTGATTATTGGTAATGCGTATGTACGAAGAGAAGGAGATATAAAAGAGATGCAAGAAAATTTTTAACTTTTGATGCAGCACTTCTTATATTTACTTCATCATAATACATTTTTAATAATGCTATTGACAAAAGATTTTGACGTTTTCTTAAAAAGAATTCATACTTAAGATACTTGAAATTTGAGATCGGGGATCAAAACGTTGCACCTCATTTTTTAAATTTTTAATGCACTGTTGCAATTATAAAAACATTATTACAACAGTAAATTGAGTAATAACATAATGAGTAATCAGCCACGTATTAATTAATAATAATAATATCAATACCAATTATGCACTAGCCCTGAACAAAATTTAGACTCAAATGCATTAAAAAAAAAAAATCACAAGCCTCAAAGTATGGATTTTCAACGGAAATAAAATGGAGAGTACAAACATTTAAATCAATGCGCATCAAAGTTATTCAAATAAGTAAACTGTCTCTGATGCAAAGACCAATAGATATGTGACCGTGAGTATTTATATATTGCAGGTTTTACAAGCCTAAAGCAGCAGAAAAACGCCTGAATCTCGTGGGCCACGCAATTTTTTATTAGTTACTTGACAAGGAAAACGTTTTTTTACACAAACCTGAAAAAGATCAGTGTGACGTTTGCGTTGGAAATTGAGAGAGAAAGATATACACTGGTATTCAAAAACGCAAACTCAAAATAGAAAGAATTTTGAGCTTTGACCTTAATAGCTTTAACAATGGATTGCTAGCAAACTTTTTTATGCCCAGTTTTATCTGCTGGTGCTTTGTACTTTAAAAAGAAGTTTAAAATTCTTAATCAAACTATCTATAACCTCCACACAAAAGAGGCAACCAATTATTTATGGGATAAAACAGTAGGGGCGCTGGAAAGTAATGTTTTTGCTTCGATCTTAATTTATAACATATTAGAATTTAAAGAAATAAAATGGCAAAACTGTTAGGGAATTCTACGCCGGTTTGCTTTTTTTAAGTTGTAGAGAATATTGAGCTGTATTTAAATATATAAAAATCAAATAATTTTTTTAAGTTTTTTATTAAACTTTATTTGATAAAACAAAAAATTACTCCATTCTACACGGAGTTTCGGGGAGAATAAGATACGCAGGTATATGTTTAATTAAAACACTTTATTAAAAAAACAAAAAGCAATCAATAATAACAATTAAAAAATCAATCATATAAAATAAACTTTTTTACTCTTGTGATGATGTTTAGTCGTTTAGAGGTACTAGAGTTTGAGTTGAGTTTTCAATTGGGCGGCACTTTTTGGTGCAATAAAACTCAGCGCCTTTTACGTATCGCTTTGGTATGCTTGTTTGACATAGCCGGACTTCGCAATTTGATTTTTCTTACAGGTACCATTCCATATTTTGACTTGCTAAAGCCTCGCCTAAAACTTTGCGGTACTTTTTACACTTGAATTGGTTTGCAGCTAATATTTTTAGCAAATTTTTTGTTTGGCTTATTTGCTGTTCGCCATTTGAGCTAAGCTTACTTGTTTTTTTAGCTTGCTTTGCTTTTTTTTCGCTCTTAGCATCTTTCAATCTTTCAAGCAATTCAGGTTTGTTGAGACACTCCCCTTCGAATCTTGTCACATCTACAGTTTTTTCTTTTTTGTGTGTCAACGTGTTGGATCCGAAACATTTGTCGCAAAGCTGCTGCAAGTTGGGTTGATTGCAGTTATTTTTCAACCTCTTTTTGAATTTCATTTTTAATAGCCGGAGTAAATAAAATATTGAAGTTTTTTTGCAAACTGGTTGACTTTTTAGGTGACTTTAGAGCTGATTCTATGTGACATATGCTGATGCTAGATGTTGGAGTAGATTGAGAGGGCAGTGGCTGAGGTAGTGTAGTTCCTGGAGCTAGTATTGGTATTGGTACTATCATAGATTCTGGTTGTTGAGATGATAAAGGATCAGGTTCAGATGACGGTGTCTTAAATGTATTAGCAATTTGCAACTTTGACCATTCGATCAAGATATTCCAATAATTAAAAAGATTTTCCAATAATTAATTAAGAGAAAAAGAATAAACATTGTCTCAACTATTTCATTTTACCAGGTTAAACGGGTTTTCTCTTAGAAGGACAAGTTTATGACCAAACTGATGGCGTTGCTAATGGTACTCCATTAGTACCTATACTTACTATTCTGTTTATGAGTAGCTTTGATGAAAAATGGGTCAAATTTTATAATGGTGAATAACCGTTGTATTACAAACGTTATATAGATGACATTTTTGCTGCTTTCCCCTCAGAAAACCACGCATTTTTATTCTTGGATTACATTAACAAAAAATATTCTTCAATATCTTTTACCATTTTATCATTATCAGTTCAATATCATTTACCATACAACTCTATTTAACTCGAACAGTTCAACAATTACAACAGTTTTTCATAAAAAAACCTTTACTGGATTATACACCAACTTTTACAGGTTTACTTCATTTTCATAAAAAATAGATCTTATAAATGTTTAATTGATAGAACTTAACAACAAAATTTACAATACTATCCTTGGTCTCCGTATAATACCTGTTAAACGTGTTTGCAACAAAAAGCCATAAATATTCATTTAAACAAACAAAAATTTAATGCATTATGGTATATATTTCAACGATTTATAAATCGTTGAATTTTATTACAAATAATCAACCTTATTTTATTTTTATAGAAAAACTACGTGCATCAATTAAACTATTTTCAAAGATTCTTTCAACTCGCGCTTCTTTTATAAATACTTTAATGGTGTCATATTATTATGTGATGACATATTTCCAAACAACTTAACAGTGAACATAACGGTTAAACATTAATATACCAATACATTAATATACCAATATACATATAATTGCGGCCAACATAACGCTTTAGACATATTTATTATTAATATAAAGGTAAACATAACGCCAAACTTTCCATTTACCGTTATGTAACCGTTATTTTGGCGTTATATTTTTTGCTGTGGATTTAACATAACAATAATTTTATTTGATCTAAAGTTTTAAGTCACAACAACAATTTAAGTGACTAATAACTACACCACAAATTTCAAATAAAAATCATCTGGGTAAATGACAAAAAACTAAATAAAATGGATAAAGTATATATCGCGAGGTTAGAATTATTTTGTTCTATCTCCACTTTTTGAAAAAAATGAGTTATTAATTGAGTAATGTACCTCAAAATAATGTTTTTCTACTATATTAAAACCTAAGTTAAAATCAAAAAAGTTTCGGAGAAAACATAAGTAATAAAAATCTTTTTATATGCCGTCTCCTAAAGTTTTTATTTTTTAAATCGTTTTATCTCGAAACAAAAAAATGTGGAGATAGAACAAAAAAATTTTAACCTCGCGATATTATAAATTTATCAATTAATATGTAACATAACAATGTTATGTAACTGATGCTATGTTTTTTTAACAATGTTATGTTAACTATTTAAAATTACCGATTTTGAGCGGAGCCATCGAATTTTTATAATTTTGTATTAAATTAGTATTAAACCACTAACTTTGTTCTAAAACGAGAAAATTTCACCTCGTTTGCATATTGCTTTTTTTTGTTTACTCACGTTATGACGCCATATGAAAGCACTGGGATTAAAAGGATTAAAATTAGTCTATTTAACAGACCTCAACTATAAAGTTTTATTTTGCTATTTTTTTGTTGTTTTTTTTTGTTTTCATATTACTCCCGCAGTTTTCCCATAATTTTGCTATAATAATAATAATAATAACAATAATAGTAATAATAATAGCAATAATAGTAATAATAAAAAAATAATAATAATAATATTAATAATAATAAGTTATAATATAATAATAATAATAACACTAATAATGTTAGTTTTTGTTATTTATCGGCTAATTTAGTTGGTAATATTGGTATGTAAATTTAAATTTAAACTGGAGTCGGCTATGATTCAAAGCTAATCCAAATCAGTCATAGCATAAAAGTTCGGTATTGTAATTTTAACTTTTAAATTGAATTGGCGATGCTCCAAAGCTAATTCAAATCAGCCATGGTATAAAAAAACTGGAACGAAATAGTATATTTTTTGTGAAACAATAAATATTCTAAAATGCCTCGAATTTTCATTTTTTTGCTTTATGTAGCATTTTTTGTAGTAAGTAATTTTTTCGATTTTCTTTATTTTTTTTGTTTTTACATTGATTTGCTGTTTAACAATAATTAATCAAACAAATATATATGCAAGAAAGAAAAAATATGTCCGTAGAACAAAGAAGACAGTAAAATCTTGTCAACAAGCACTGTTTTTGTATATACAGTATAAAATATAAAATTTTGTTTTTTACAATGACATTAATAAAATAAAGAGTTAAACAGACAGGGACTCAAAGAAGATGAAGACGACAATACGTCATGCCATCTTTTCATAGAGCCCCTATATACACTTTCCATAGAATATAGGTATTAAATTAAAAACCTTAATGGGCTTTTTATTTATTTTCAAAGCCTATTAGGGTTTTTAAATTAAATTAAAACCCTAATGGGCTAAAAATTTTAAAAATAGCGCATCAGTTTTTTAATTTAATTTAGAACTGCTGCGCTGATTCCCAGCAAACAAAAAGATATCTAAAATGCATCTAATATGCATTTAAAAACTGATCTAAAAGATGTCTAAATTCAGGTCTAGAACGGGACATAAATAGACGTCTATCTTATAGTCGTCTTTTAGATGCATTTTATTCGACACAAATAGTTGCCTTAGATGCATAAAAGATGTGAAATATACATCTTACAGATGCATATAAGATGTATAAAATACGTCTCTTAAATAGATGTCTAAGGCGCGTTTAAAAAAGATAGATAATAGATAATTTTTTAGTTAATAATAGCTCTTTTATGCATCTAATATACATCTAATATACATCTTTAAATGTATATTTCACATCTTTTATGCATCAAAAGCATTTGTTTGTGTCAAATAAAATGCATCTAAAAGACATCTATAAGATAGACATCTATTTATGTCCCGTTCACGACGTGAATTTAGACGTCTTTTAGACCAGTTTTTAGATGCATATTAGATGCATTTTAGATATCTCTTTCTTTGCTGGGACTTGTTTGATACAAAGGTGTTACAGCAGTTAAATTAGTCATAAAAAAGGATTAAATTAAATAAGTAAAGAAACATTTTAACTAACATTACTTAATTTTTATTTCACAAAAATATACATAAGAAACTATATTTCTGCATTGCCGTCAACATTTTCTTCCACGTCGCTGGTATCTAAAATATATACTTTAATGACATTTAAATGACATGTAGAATTCTGAATCTATTTTTATGAAATATTATATATATATATAAATATATATATATATATATATATATATATATATATATATATATATATATATATATATATATATATATATATATATATATATATATGTATATATATATATATATATATATATATATATATATATATATATATATATATATATATATATATATATATATACACATACAGTATCGGACAAAACCAGTGTAACCAAATGATGCTAATTTAGTTTCTTTGTATAAAAGTGCTGTATTTTTTCAATTTAGAGAAATAACTATGTAACTGTTTAGAGACAACGTTCTTCAAATTTTATTCATCACGAAGTTCCTTATTTGTACACGAAAATTAATAAATTAATCAAAAGTATTAAAAAAAGTTAATTTTCTTCTGGACAAAACAAGTGCAACTCCACAAAATGTTGACCAAGCTGTATTCATATCATTATTTTGTGGAAAATCTTTTGTTGTCGATCACAGCCTTGCATCTTTAAGGCATAGATTCGATTAGGTGATCAATAAAACTTTGTGGAATCGCTGCCTAGGCCTTTTGGATTTGTTCAAACAGTTGATCTTTATTACGAACACATTCATGATTAACTCTGCAGTTGACAATCTCCCACAGGTTCTCGATAGGGTTGAGATCCGGAGATTGAGGCGGCCAATCCATCACCAATAGATGGTTGTCTTGAAACCACTGCTTGACTACTTTTGCAGTGTGTTTGGGATCGTTGTCTTGCTGAAAAACCCATTTTATTGGTATATTCCATTCAGCATGAGGTAACATAACATCTTTCAGGATATTTTTATACATGAAACGGTCCATTATTCCATCAATTTGATGTATTGGACCTAGACCGTTAGAAGAAAAACACCCCCAGACCATTACATTGCCTCCACCATTGCATACAGTCTTATGGCAGTAACGTTAATTAAGGCGTTTTCCGGCCGCTTGACGTACAAGCAGCTCTAATTGCTTTTGTATCTCAACTGATGATTTCCAGGGATCCTTCTTGACAGATCTGACGATCATAGAATTCCCTCTAGAAATGGTGGAACGAGGTCTTCCACCATTGTTATCTGCTGCCAACTTCCCTGTGGAACAATATTTGGAACATAGTCTTGATACGATCTATTTTTTCACGCCATATTTATCACAAATATTTTTTTGTAATATTCCACTTAAGTAATCGCAAATAATTTTCTCTCTTAGTTCCAATCCAAGACTGTCGGGAACCATTTTTGCACTTGAAGTCATAAAAATAATAAAAATAAATAACCACACTTCTCAAGGCTTACCGTGTTACATTTACCTTGTGATGATAAAATATTGCTCTGCAAATCATAACGTTTTGGTTGGATGTGGACTGTATTGATGTAATGAAACACTTATTGTATTTCACTTCTGGTATTGATGTTCTTCGATAAAACACTTTGATAAAACTCACTTCGATAAACTGTCTTGATAATACTGACTGATTGACTTCCATATACTGACTGAATTACATGTCTCTTATATAGTAAAATGAACCTGTGTGAACCTGTTCTGGAAGATTCTAGATGCTTCTTTTCAATACTTCTGGAAGCTTCTGGATGCGTCTGAATGCTTCTGAATGTTTCTCGATACTTCTGGATGCTTCCTGATGCTTCTTCTGGAAACTTCTGGAAGCTTCTGCATGCTACTGGAAACTTCTGGATACTTCCTTTAATTATTAAAAAACATCCGTGATGTATGCTGCAAAATGGCACTTGTCAACGAAATTCTGCCTGTGTGCTGTCACCTGTCAGCTGATTGCTCATATCATGGCATGCTATGAGTCCAAACTCCTAAACTGTTTGCTGTGGTAGTATAGTTCGTTTCATTTTTAAGACATAAAATTAGGAACACTTTTTAGCATTGTTTGATGTTGGTTGCAAATGTTTTGTCCAATACTGTATATACACATATATACATGTATATATATATATATATATATATATATATATATATGTGTATAAATATATATATATATATATATATATATATATATATATATATATATATATATATATATATATATATATATATATATATATATATATATATATATATATATATATATATATATATATATATATATATATATTATAAACAAGAAGATTTGTATCTCAACCAGATACAATAATAAACAACAATTTTTTTATGAAAAAACTAAAGGAACTTATATTATAGATACAAAAATTCTAGCATGACACAAAAAAGTCGAAGAATATCTTTTTAATACAGATATCAGTTTTGTAAATACTATTAAAACTATACCTCGTAAAACACTCCATATATTTACTAGATTTTCTAAGCTTATCTTTTCCCCATTTCCTTTTCGATTTAATTTGGACTGTAATACCATGTTCACACTAGCGATGTTCGGCGGAACATTATTCCGGAACAAATGTTCCTGGAACAAAATGTTCCACAAAATGTTACTTGTAGCGTTCACATGTAAAATTGGCTTGACGGTACATTAAAGAAAAAACGAGTAAAAAAACGGTAGGTAAAACTCGAATAAAAATTAGTGACAAACAGTTTGGCAAACACACATTGTTAATATAATTTATTAATTTTTAATATTTAAACATTTATGAGAGGTAAAACTAAATACAAATAACGCTGAGAGTTTAGCTAGCTCAGAGTTAGACAATAAAAACCCAACCCAAAATACCCGCCATACAAAAGGTGACGTTGGAATTTTGTTATCCCGTTTTTTGACTTTTATGGATAGGTCATATCTCCTTTAGTCGCTTTTGACGACACAGAATAGTAGTCCATCAGTGGTATAGCACTGAATAAACATATTATACATTAATATGTTACCCACGACCAGTTAAAACTAATCTCATTTTGTGTTCATACATATTTAATATTTATTTATTTAGACACATTTGATAACCGCAAGGAAAGTAAGTAAATACATAACCATATTACAGCTAAAGCTTTAATAATAAATAATAAATAATATTATTACTACTTTACTTGTCCCTTTTATAAAGGTATTTAGCAATTGAGTCACGAACATTTTTTCCTGGTCCATTGTTCCCAGTTGTAGAAACTGTATTGGGTTGAGCTAGACTGTCATCATGATGATGCATAAGCCATTCTATTATAATATTATCGGCATAATATTCACTGTTGTGAAGAGAGACGCAAGCATTAACAATTCTTGTAGCAAAGTTAATATCGCATTCCATACGTTTGCAAATTACACGGAATCGAGCTTTAACGCGCCCAAAAGCATTCTCAACTACTCTTCTAGCTCCGCAAAGTATTTTATTGAAATTTTTTTGAACTTCACTAAGCTCCAAATTTTCAGGATAAGGTTTTAACAAATGACGCGTTAAAGGATATGCTGAATCACCTATCAAACATAGTGGAACAAGAGAACCGCCCAGCTCTTTACAACATTTATCAAATAAACTTGATTCTAAAATTGCTTTCAAAGAAGAATTCTGCAAAATACAGCTGTCATTATTTCTATTAGGCAATCCAACACTTGTATAAATGAAACCGTATCGACAATCTACAACGGAAAAAAGTACAATGGAATACCACCCTTTATAATTATAATAAGAAATTGCTTGATCTTTAGGGGCTAAAATAGGGATGTGGCATCCATCAACAGCTCCAACGCATTGTGGAAAACCAAGAATAGCTTCGAAATCTCTACTATGTTTATTTAAGTTTTTCACTGACAATGGAAATTTAACATATTTAGGTAGCAAAATGTCATTAACAGCATTAATAAATTCATGAACAATTAAATTTGCTGTTGACTTTCCTATGTCAAAAAGGCTAGACACAACACAATACTCTTCACATGAAGCTAGATAATGTAATGCAACTGCAACACGTTTTACTACTGAAATAGGTTCTCGCGTAGTTGTGGTAGTTTTGCCTAAATGTGGATGCAATTCATTAACTAGGAAATTAAATGTGTTACGATTTACTCGAAAATGCTCTTTAAATTCACATTCCTCCATTTGAGTAAAAATCTCATTAAACCATTGAGAACTTTTCGTCCTAACCCAAACTTTTCTTTCAATTAGATACCCTTGTTGATTTAACTTAAAGAAAGCTAAATCTAAATATAAAAATGGGTGGGTGATTGATTCATCATTGATTAATGTTCTACTTCTTGATCGAAGTACGGCCAAAACGCCTTATATGTTTTTCCAATAGCTTTTTTCTTTACAGATGTCTCCCTAAAAAGCTATTAAAATTATATAAATATATTAAATAAATATAATACTTATTATATTACAATTCAAGGGAAACTAAAACACATTTTTAAAAATCATTTTGTTAGAATTGATACAGCATGATCTGTTAACAAAAACAAAAATAAAACATGTAATGCAATTTGTATAAATTAAAAACAAAACACGTCGGCAAAAAACATATCACTATAATTCATCTACAGGCTTGCTTCATATCGCAAAAAAAATTATTTGGTAAAAATACTAAATATTTATAGCATAGAGATACAAAAAAAGGTATTTACAAAATAACATGACAAATTTAGAAAATACCACCAGATATGCATTTTAATGCTTGAAATCACAAAATATTTTTATTTTACATAAAGTAAAAATTCCTTTGATAATAGTAATATGGTAACATGAAAAAATATATATAAATAGAGCTTCATCTACAAGCTTGTACAATATTTCACTAACCATCTCTTTAGTTAAAACATTGAAAAACCTTATGAAATATATATTGCATAGAATTGTAAACAAGGTATACTGTTGAAAAAATACTGACCTTTCAACTTTAATATAATTACTAAAAAGATATCTTGACTAATAGAACACCTTATTTTTTTGTTAAAAGTTTATAATATTCTACTTGGGCTTTAGACACATCTACTTGGGCTTTAGATGCATTTTCAATTGGATCGCAAATACGCTCTAAAGCAACAACCTCTCTGATTCGTAGCTCTTGTGAACGGATTTGAACATCTAGATTTTTATTTGCTATTTTTAAGTATTCAGAAGTAAAATTTGTTTTTTTATTTTTTCTCACCGGTTCAGTTTTTGCTATTTTATTCAAAGTTTTTTTATCATCAGAGTTCCTTCGTTTATTGCAGCTGGATGTAGATTGAGTTAGTTCCTCATCAGGAATAGTGACAATTGATTGCGCATCACTTTTATCATCCCAAGCTTCAATATTTAAAATACTGACAGTTTCCTTGCCATCTTCCATTGTGGCAATCTGTAAATAAAATATACAAATTAAAAAAATCACACATTTAAGAAATGATTATAAATCATGTTTCAATCAAAATTTATCTATTGACTTTGAAAGACTTGACTTTCAAAAAGGATCTCTTTAGACAATAGGATTTTACAAATTGATCTAGCCAATATTAAAAGATTCCTTTTATAATTCAAAAACTTTATATTATATGTTTTTGATCTTTATGTTTTAAGTCTGCCAAATGTTGCAAAACTAAGAATCTCTTAAACTTTATTTTGTAGAAATAGTTAACATGCTTGTTTATATTACTTTAAAAAATATATAGCACTTTAAAAGATACGACAATAAATTATACTAAACTTACCTGAACATCTTGAAAATCTTGAGTAGAAAAGTTTTGACTTTGAGATAAAAGATCATTGTCAAGGGAAGCTTCACCACCTATTATTTTGGCAACAATATCGTAAGGCCACCATTTACTAGGAGCTCCTCCCGATGAACCAACTTGAAGTTTTTCTCGTCTATGAAAAATATACATAAACATAAGTAAATATAAGCACATCATTAACACCGTATAAGATCAATCAAATAACTTTAATGGACAAATTATTATTAACGAAATAATTATTAACAAAATTAACGAATTATTAACGAATAATAAAATAACAAATTATTAACAAAATAATTATTAACAAGCTGTAAATCTTCAATACTGAATAAGATTTAAGTAATTTTTAATGTAACACTCAGTTACAAACTAAATTGCAATTAGATATTATTACACATGGTTAGTTTTGTAAAATACTTAGTAAGGTATCAAGTAAGGTATCAGTAAATTATCAAGTAAGGTATCAGTAAGGTATCAAGTAAGGTATCAAGTAAGGTATCAGTAAGGTATCAAGTAAGGTATCAGAAAGGTATCAGTAAGGTATCAAGTAAGGTATCAATAAGGTATCAAACATTAAATGCAGAATATGTACATAGCTAAATTGCTTCCTCAAATTACTAATTTTAGATTGAATTTGATATCCAGTTAACGGAGGTACGATATTAAATGTGTTTGAAAATTCAGCTGCTATTTGTTTGTAAATATTTGTGTTTCTTCTTGCAGATGTAAATGCTTTGTAATTATCTTTCCATAAATCTAATAATACTCTTGTGTTAGCCATATTCCATACAAATTTATTTAAAGGAGATGTGCAAAGACCAATATTTGTTGTGCTAGCGTCAATACACTCTTTTTCTGAATGCTGAGACATTGTGTAAAATCAAAGTTTTACCTACTAAAAAGGATAAGTACATTGAATCTTGCAACAATAACAACAACAACAACAAAAAGAAGAGAAATAGTTAATAATAAAATTAAAGGTTAAACTTCATAATTGCTATAAATGTTATGGGCTTAAAATAATTTAATAATGTTATGGGCTTACTAAATAAATTAATAAATTGCCAAAAACTGGTAGCCAAGTAAACAGAAACTTTCAGATGCTACTTTTACTTTTTTTTACTTTTCCATGCAATGTGATAATTATGTTATTTAATAACATCGATCTTTCAACACTATTGTTTATTTTTATTTTTAAATGTCAATAATTGTAGTACATTGTGGCAAAGATATAAGGTACAGTCATATCAATACAGTCAATCAATAATATATATTCTGAATAAAGGTCTTACTTTCACAATTATTCACAAACAGTAAATTAACTAATATTAAGTAAATACAGATTAATTATGAGGAAAATACTAATGATAATGTTCACAAATTAAAATAACAAGACAAGACAAAGCTAATACAATAACATATATATGACATAAAAATAAAATATATGACAAAGCTCATATATAACAATATATACCAATAATAATATCATTAATAATATTAACATAAATAATAATAACAATGATGATAATAATGATAATAATATTAATAATTGTTATTGTTGTTATTGTTATCATTGTTATTACTATTATTATTGTATAATAATAATAATAATAATAATAATAATAATAATAATAATAATAATAATAATAATAATAATTATTATTATTATTATCACTGTTGGCAAGGCCAATGATAAACAACTCTGCTTATTAGTTCAAAGATGAATTTTATAAATAAAATTACTATAAGTTTATTAAAAATGCATTAACAGCAATGCTTGCAAAGTATATAATTAAATAAAAACTATTAAACAATGAAAATTAAACTTTCTTAACGCAAGTTAAATGTTAACTTGAATTATACTTCTTGTCAATTCAAATTAAAACTGATCTTATAAGAATAATACTGTCTTTGTAATGTTATATTTTAAGATTAAGTTTTTAAACACACATATATAACTTCTTTTTAAATTAATAATACACTAATAGTTAAATTTCTATTCTATTTATACAAATTTTAAATATAGTTAAAAATAACTTTGTGAAATTTGTGATGGTCAAATAATTGTTTTTTAAATAAATGCCCACCACCTGGTCTACTCATGATTGATCCCACACGAGTGGGATCGGAATTTTCTTGGTTGCATGAAATTACCACAAGTTTTTACTCAATGAATAAAAAATGAAATTATATTCGAAGAAATGTTTTGAACTCAATAAAAAAGATGGAAGGCAAAATGTTGAAAGGCAACATGTTGAAAGGGAAATAGTATATCGATAATATTGTCTTGATATATGACCAAGACCTAGGACATGCAGAGATCAAGGACTAAAAACTCTGGTTAAGATGACAACAACTTTGTAAAAAAAATAGTTTGAGTTACTTTCACAACAAATTTGCATCTTGCAATGCATTTTTATTGAGTCATTTAGCTTATATGCATACGCTTATTTTAAAAATAGTTGAAAATAGGCACCATTTTTTATACAAAACGAAATAAATGTTCCGGAACATTTATTTGTTCTGGGTTGGCGGGACGGTACAAAAGTTCCTCAAATGTTCCTTAAATTTTTGTTCCATTTGCGTTCACACGAGAGGATATTTGTTCATGCTCCATGTTCCACGGAATGTTCCATCAAATGTACCCTCGTGTGAACAGCCTATTACTGATTCGAAAATAACCTGATAAATATTTTAACAATAAACTGAAATATATAAAGATTTTTATTTTAATATATGTAATAAATTAAAATATATTTTAATATATGAATGCTTAAAATTATGAAAGGTAAAAGCATAAAATTTGAAAATAAAATGCTAAACAAGGTTACACACATTACACTTACTTTAGCACATAAACAAACTTAAACACCTACAGCGAAGCTCCCGAGTTTATCAAATTGTCATGTTAAAAGTAAATCCATAACAAATAACGGTCAAAAAGAATTGCTTTTGGTCCCTTTTAATCATATTTCTAATAATTAATAAAAACATAATCATTTACCTTTACATGATCAAAAAAACATGTTCTTTTGGCTTTCCACCACCAATCTTTTTTAAACTATCAAGCTGAAATAAATGTTATAAAAACTAGTGTAATTTAAATTTCTTTACAACATATTGAGTCTAACATAAGCAAGTTATTTTAGTTCATTTACAAATACTTTTTATTTAGATTATAAACTAATAAACCAAATTTAAACAAACTTATTAAAAACTAAGATAATTAGATTATACCAAATTAGTATACTCGGTTTTATCTTTTAGTTTATTATCCAGTGTAACCACTTCGTCCACTGATTCTAGCAACTTCACCCCAGTAGCCTGAAACTTAATTTCTATAACTTCTTTTAAAAGAACTTTTATTTCTGCAAGCTTGTTGAGAATAACATTTTGCATCTCTACAAACAAGAATAAAAAGATTGATTAACATATTTAGCTCATAAAACCAAATAGCAATACAATGAAATAAGAACTTTAAAATTCAAATTATGCTTGAGTAACTTAAACTAAAATTCCAAAAACACATGTAAGTTTTTTTATTACTCCATCACAGAAGTTGCCATAATATTTCGGAAAACCTACTTTTTAAATCAGCTAAAACTTTATCCTGTAAAAAGCTACGATATTAAAGAATTTTAACTACTACTAAAAATAGTAGTTAAAATTCTTACTAAAAAAACTACTAAAGATAAAACGCTACACACATGATTTATCGGATCACAATATTATAAATAATCTATTTCTATTCTTGTATACCTATCTTTTACAATTATTTTAATACAAAAACAAATTAATAAAAAATACCTCCACATTAACATTCAGTGGTGTAAATACCAAAATTACTCACATTAAAACTTAAAACTCTTTGACAATGTGAACTTTGCTTGGTGTTCATCAATAAAATGTGAAGAAAAATTATCTTCTTCAACCTTTGAATCTGATAACAACTTTATTCAAAAGAAATAATTATATTTAGAACTATAAATAATCCCTCAACCATACCTGTTACTTAATTTAATCTTTCAACCAATTTTGTACTCTTTCAATTTCTGAATTCAAACAACTTCAGCATGCTTTCAATCAGTTTTCAATTTTCATCTCAAGTTGATTAAAGGATTATTTAATACAATAGAATGTTGTCAATGATATAAATATATGTAACCAACTTAACAACATTACATATAATAGGACACCCAAATAGTTAAAATAAAAGGAAAATCTTAGTAATACATAAAAAAGACTAATAGCTAGATAGATATTATTCAGATCAAATTAAACAAGAACCTATTTCAGTTTATAAACCACTAAGAAAAAATTATGATATTTATGTTATACTTTTAGCATTGGGCTTATTCATAATAGGTGGCGGAGGTTCTGGCAATGAACAGCGGTATGATTTGTTATTCTTATTTTTAATATTTTTTAACATATATCTTTAACATATATCTCATCTGATGTAGAAAGTTGTATTCTTCACAACATGAAAATGAATCTAATTATAAAACATTTTGCTACAAAAAAGTAATTAAGTTACCTTTGAAAAAAATACAAAACAAGTTAGATACTGACTATCTGTTACCTTACACTTTATCAATGGAAATTTGTGCCATTCTTTTGTTGACAAAGGGTTTTTTAGTGCATGATTATTGGTACAATAAATGTGTTGGTATTCTTTGTCAATCCACTTGTTTAGTGCATAATTACTTGGTTAGAAAAACATGCAGAAAAACTTTCCTTTAAAGTTGGGTTATGCTTATACTCATTAGTAGGTATGTGACATGAAATTTTTAAATTTACAAAACATTATATTGTTATATATCGTTGAAAAGAGCATTAATACAGTATTTCAACGGTGAAAAAATTATAAAAATCGAACAATTCAAAAAAAAGTTATGAGGTTTTTAGTGACCATTTTTGAATATATGAAATTGTTAAAGAAACTGTGGTCAAAATAATTTTTTTTGTATCGAAAATTGTTATAACTATGCAAATTTTTGTTGAAATTTCTATAGTTTGGTATCAAAAAAAAGATACAAGAGTGGGCTACAATTTTATAGTAGCATCTAGCTATAGGGCGTGAGTGGACGGCTAGAGGGGGCCCCGAACTACGACTTTTACCACCAAAAAATTGAATATTCTATCATAAAAAAGTATTGTAATACTGAAAATTGTCTTTTTTATCAAACAGAAGTTCCAATATTTTGATCCCAGCTTACCACCATATATGAGATGTGTACCTTTGAGTTAGGGGTGGATGTGGTGGTGCTTGTTTAACACGTACTATTAACAAAAATAATTCCTTTTTTAAAAATTATATTATCTCCAATTAAAAAAGTAATCTAGAACAAAAAATAAAATTTAAGTTTCACTAACCACTAGTTGTAAAACTTAAATTTTATTTCTCACCTTGACTCGAGTTATACACCACTAACCACTTTACAACTAGTGGTTAGTGGTGTATAACTCGAGTCAAGGTGAGGGGCGTACGCCCGCGCAGCACCGCCCCTCCCCCAAACTCCTTCCAAATTAAAAAAAAAATACTTTACTACATTACAACTTGTTAGTATGGTATACTTTTACTTGAGAGGTAATTGTGTGAGCCCGCTTTCGCCTAACCGCCCCCCCCCCAATTTTTTTATTTTTATTTTTGTCATTTAAAAAAAAAAAAATTTGTTTACATTTTCAAACGTCAAAAATTAGTATAAACAGACATTTTACCACTTTATAAAAAGCAAATGTTTATCCAGTTTCACATAGGAAAGAGAAAGTGCCCCTCTAATCTAAAAAATTTTTTAACTTTAAATTGAAAAATATTGTTAAAAATAAACAAAAATTTTAACACTAATTTTTAATACAAAATGTGTAAGAGTATTTAAATTTTTAGGCAAAAGGCTATTTGATTCTTTAACATCTAACCTAAAAAAACATGTAAAATATTTTAAAAATACAATACTTAAAATTATGTTATTTAGTGTAAACAAAATACCCATTGTAATTAATTAGTATCTTGGCTTTTAGTAAACAATTTGAAATTCCACTAATGAAACAAAATATTAATCATTTTTTAACGATAGACATCACAAGAAGGTAAGCCAGAGCCGTCTATCAATAATTTATGCAAGTCACAACACTTCTGTACCAATTTTATAAGTCACAACACTTGAGATACTTTTAAAATGTTAAGACTTTTCAAGTTCTAACATTTGCAGTATCTATTTTGGACTTAGTTTCAATTATGAAAACAATACATATTAACATTAAAAACAAATATTACACATTAAGATCAAAAAAAAAAGCAATTCTCCTGATACAACATCTGGGCCCAGCTAGAATTTTTTTATGCAATAATCGCCAGCTTCAGAATCAGATTCAATTTTTTTCCAGTAAGAGATAGTGTAAATTTTGTCATGCAATCTTTTTTTTAAATTTTTCTACTCTGCCATCGTATACTTAGATTGTTCAATATCATACCATTCATGATATAGTTTTCTACTAACAATTCTGTCAGACATAACATCATCTAAATCATCCAGTTGCTTTGTAGACAATTGCTTATACAAATTCTTAATCTGGCTTAAAGTCATTAACTTAAGTTTTTGTTATAATTTCTTTTTATCTTGTTTATCCAACATTTGATGCTTGCATGTCTGTCTCTTATATAATACAGATCGAATTTGAGCATGTTCTAGAAAATGGACCATTAATTACATTCTCTTACTTAGTTAGTAATCTAAACTATCAAGATAATAAATAGTCCTATTCTTTTTTCATCTTATTTTTCAAGAAATATAACAAGTTGTTGCATTAGGGGATCTTCCTTTACATTCACTTATTCCTTTACATTCAAGAATTATATAAAATTGTTGTATTAGGGAATCTTTCTTTAGATTCACTAAACATACCAATTAACTCTTCACTATCTATATTGTGAAACCTTGCACTAGCTGTTTCCTGCTTGAGTGTCTCTGTAATGAAAAAGGAGAAGTACTTTTTACATTGTCTAATCAATACATCCTTTACTGCATTAAGACAAGCTGAAGTCATGTTAATAATCTGGTCATCAATGCAGCATTAATATGTTATTGGTTCAAAAACGTTTGAGGGAAGCATTTCCCTAAAAAAATCTGTTGCTCTGCAAAACAGAGCAGCCGGATTAGATTTGCAAACATTAACTGTTTCCAATATGTTTTTTACAATCTGAATACCGGTGAGATGATCAAAATTTGCATCCTCAGCTGATACATGAAACTTTGTCATCCACGGACCACTTAGCAGTTTCCCAAATACACCAAGCACACACATTTTTTTTAAAGTGGTAGCATTACAAAATGCTTCTCGCAGAGCTGCTTGCAAACTGCCACATTTGACTGTTCTAGTGATCAGAAAATTTAGAAAATTAGCATAGTGTTTAATAAATATATGACAAGTATTAAAAAGAAAATATGAAGACGGTTTCCTCGATATCTAGGGATGATACACCTAGGTAGTTTTTTGTGGTCTTAAAAAGTAACAAATCCCTCTGGATCGCTTTCACCGTCTTTAAACCTCATCTTATTCATAGCCAAATCAATTTTGACAGCTACATAATCATTGCCAAATAATTCAACTTTTCTGCCTCTAGACACATCAATGCTAAGCGACATCAGTAGCAAATGTATCAAGAGGGTGCAAATAAAAATTCAATTAATTCAGAGTTTTACCCCAAGTTGCACTAACTTTGCTTATGGTTAGATGGTTAACTGCAACTCTGTCTGATATTGTGATGGAAATATTTTCAATACTCAATTAACAACACTCATCATAATTACGTAAATGAAAATTCGAATGAATAAAAGCTAGATGATCTACTGCCCTACAATGTAATCAATACAATGTAATCAGTACAATGTAATGCCCAAAAATGTAATCATCAGCTGTTCCTCACCGGCATTGATCCAGAGCAATAACAAGGCATTTATCTTTGGACGTAAGGTGGGCTATCAATAATTCTCACTTACTACGTAAGCTGAGAATTATTGATAGCCCAATCTGCTGCTTGTAATTCTGATATACTTCCTAATTCATGAGCCATTTGCTCAACAGTACTGTGATGGGGTACGTTATTAATAACCACACTAAAATGCTGCATAATTTTCTCTAACAAAAATGGAATATTACCTGTTACCACATTTGACAACATGCTAAAATTTTTATCCTAATGTTTAAAGGATAACACTTTTTAGATTCAGACATAACAGGAAATTTTTAATTCCTTGCTTGAAACAGAAAAATAAAACTACAAAAATTATACAAAAATTTTTAAATACAAATGTCACGATTAAAGACATAAATACCTTACAAGATATGGTAATATCCAAAAATTTTCAAAAACTTTCTGAGATTGTTTTGTTTACAAAAATGAGTTTTTTGTTTACAAAAATCAATCTGAGATTGATTGATGAGATTAACAATGATTGTTAAACAAATATCTGCTTTTTATCTAAAAGAGTATTAAGAATATAAAAGAATATTATTAGGAATATAAAAGAATATAAAATTTTATCTAAAAGAATATGAAGAATATGAAAGAATATATTAAGAATATAAAAGAATATTATTTTATCTAAAAGAGTATTAAAGAATAAACCATAATATAGTGTATTTATATTATATACATAAATTATGATTGAATAATAAAAATAAAACAATGAAACTATTAAAATAACGACAACAATAATAATGACAGTATAATTATTACTGTCATTGTTACATACATAGTATGTAGATTCCGACTTTCTCCCCCAACCATAACAACACCCATCGCGAATTTGTGAAAACAAAATTTAGGTACCAAAACTGCTACACTTTTTAAATTATCTGCTACATATTATTTTTTCTTGAAATTTGGCAGGTGAATAAATAAAGGATGTAAAAAAATGTCTTAGTAGTTTTGGAAAATGTCTCAGCATTCCATCAATACAAATTTCACGTGACAACATCAAGTAAATTTTCAATATCTATAAAGTCAACAAAAAGTAAATCATCTATACATAATTGATTCATAAAAATATAGATCTAAGTCTCTTCTTTTCAAAAATAATCTATGTTGATATACTTTTTTATAAAGAAACACCACAACAAAACGTTTGTCTGACGCTACCTCAAAAAAAGTTCAAAAAACGTGGCACAGAATTTTAGCACAAAATTCGATTCCGTAAAACGGCTATTTCCGCATACCTATCATTAGGCTTTTGGTCATAAGAGTATTCAGTGTGCAAAATCGCTGACTCATGATGTTCAAAATATTTTTTTAGATTTTCGCAAGATAAGAAATCATTTCTTTTAGAAGTTCCAACATTCGATTTTTTTCTATATGTACTGATAAAAATTCTAGTATTTTTTAATATTCTTTTTGGACACGTCATTGTCCAAATATCACACGTCATATATATATATATATATATATATATATAATATATATATATATATATATATATATATATATATATATATTTACTTTAATTACATTGTCTTTTATTCTAGAAATAAAAATATCAACTTGAAAATATTAATTTTGTAATATTTCTGCAAAATAAATTTCAAATCAAAAGGATTTTAGCAAACATGCTAAGCATCAAATCATCGAAATATTTTGTGAACTATAATAGCATGTTATTTTATTATTTAAAATTTATCAAAAGAAATAATCATTAATGTTTTCCATAGGTTAAATCGAAATATTTTGTGAACTATAATAGCATGTTATTTTATTATTTAAAATTTATCAAAAGAAATAATCATTAATGTTTTCCATAGGTTAAACTCTTAAGCATGGTTTTTAAATGGCGGTCATTTATAATCGTCGCTCCGTAAAATTAGTTACATTTTTTTCTTGTTTTTATAACAAATCTATATAAGACATCTTATAGACATCTAAGTTTAGATGAAAAAAAAAATTATCAATGCACGATCTATTTTATGCATCTAATATGCATTTAAAACAGAGCAAAAATAGTATCTCTAGATCCAGACGTCTTTTTGATCTCTAATATACGTCTAAAATATACGTATCGGCAATAGATACAAATTAGACCAATTTTAGACGGTCTAAAAGACGTCTATTGTTTGCTGGGTTAGTAAATCAAATAAAGATAAAAAATAACAAAATTAGAAAATAAATAAAATTCCTTGGTGATTCCTGTAAGCACAAAAGCTTATCAAATTTTAAAAATCTCTGTTTTTGTTAGAAAGTTAAATGAACTTAATGACTTTGTGATACATTTAAATCCTTTTTTGATAACTGTTCCATATGTTTGGTCCTCGATATGCTAAGAATCCTAAGAATAATTAATTCCTAAGAATCTAATATTGCTTTGTTTTTTGATTAAGTTATGATTTATTATAATTTCAGGCAACTTAAGAGGAAGGTTTTCTTCCTGTGTTTATTTGTTGAATAATATATAGTTTGTTTTTTCTATGTTAAGTAAGAGTTTGTTAGCCCTAAACCAATTATTTACTTTATTTAGTTCAATAGTCATATCTACATATAATTTCTTGATATCACTGTTAGTAAGGAATAGATTTGTATCATTAGCAAACATGATTGAGTTCAGTTTTAAAGATAAATTGTAAAAATCATTTATATAAGTTAAAAACAGGAGTGGACCAAGAATAAATCCTTGGAGGACTCGACACAAAATATTTAATACTCAAGATTGAATATTACACACATTTTGTTTTCTATTTATAAGATAACTTTTAATCCAATTGTAAGTTTTATTAACTAGTGCTTTAGTTTATATAATAGTATGGAGTGGTCTACTGTATCAAAAGCTTTTAATAAGTCTATAAAAATTCATAAAGTAAATTTGTTTTTTTCAAAGCCATCAGTTATTTTATTAACTAATTCAATGATTGCATGCTCTGTTGAAAGATTTTTTTAAAATCCAAATTGGTTTGGGTAAAATAATTTGTTTTTAGTGAAGTGATTATAGATTCTATTATAAATGACACGTTCAAAGAATTTTGAAAATACAGAAAGTATTGATATAGGTCTATAGTTGGTATGTCCGAATGTTCATTACATTCAAATATAAAAATCCCCGATGTTATTGAGAACTTAAGTATATGGATCAGAGGTCTGCTTAGACTAGTTTTATTAAAGATAACTAAATCAGTAGTTATCTCATCAAATACTTGTGCTTTTTTTTTTTTTTTTTTACATTTTCTTCATTTAAATTTTTACATTTTTTACATTTTCTAAATGTATAAAACACTTTATTTGCTTTTCTTGAAATATATTAAAATTACGTTTTTAGATGCTTGATGCTCGACCAAAGATCGCTCGTTTGAAAGATTGGAAAAAAAATTCAGAACTTGTCAAGTATTTTGATATATTTATTTAAAAAAAAATTTCTATTAGAAAAGTAGAAAAAGATTTAAGTGCTTAAAAGAATATTACTTTATAATAACAATTTCAGTTATAGACGATTTAAAATTCAAAATTCAAAAGCAATATACTATTTATAAAATTATAGAATTTAGTGCCTTAATATAGTGGTTAACTCAATAATTTCTTTCACTTAAATATTGGAATTACATTTTCCTTAATTTAGATTTATATAATTTTTTGCTGTTTCATAAAATCTTTTGTTTATTAATTAAATAATGTTCATTAAGTAATTTGTGTTAAAATTTTCATCGAACAATATACTTTAAGTCAAATGCCGTTGTTTAAATACTTGCACCTCTACTTTTTTTTCTTAAAGAAAAAATTCTTTTTTGGTTTAAAAATAAAAAAAAACGAAAAAAAAAGTACGTAATGATAGTTTATGTACTAATATCTAGTTTATGTTACAAAAATAAATGTTCTTAAATTATGTAAAAGTAACTTTAGTTTTAACAGATTGCATGACCATTCATTGGGGCAAAAACTTGTTAACAAGATAAATAAACCTTTTGATCAACTGAAAAGTCGTGTTAAAAAAGATGCTTTTTCAAAAAAGGTATATTAATTTTTTAACTGTTTAAATTTTAACAACTGGAGGTTTTGAATTAAGTTGTCTTAAATTAAAAAAAGTAAAAAAATCATTTTTTTAGTTATATAAACCATTATTTAAAAATTTATTTTATGAGTTGTATCATAAATAAAGCTCCATAAATAATGTAATGTTTCTTTAGTTTTGAATTTATTAAAATTGATATAAGCAGCTATAAGTATAGAAGTATAAAGCAAAAAAAATTTAATAGTGAAAATGTTTATAAATGATTCTATCAATAAAATTTATTTCTGTTTTATTAATATAGGAAGAAACTCCACCAAAAGGATGATACTTGATTAGTTTTAATTAGAGTATGGGAAAAAGAATCTTTAAAACGAAAATCAACGATGAAAACAACAAGAGCAATAATTTTTAATACTGGTTTTATTTACGGAATATTTATTATTTCTCATATATTTTGTTTTGATCAGCTTATGTGATTTAAGTACGATAATTCTTGCTGTCCCGACCCGTAATATACGGGTCTTAGTTAATCAATTCCAAACCGACCTTTCCTTTACTTATTTCTTTAATATTTTTAAGTAAGCAGCAGAAAAAAATATATATACATATAGAAAAAACTATACTTATTATTTACTTTTTAAAAGAAAAAAGTTTAATTTCAGTTAACTTTAAACGTTTCGGTAGCCGTTGCACAAATCGCTATTAATCAACGGATTGGATATTAGTACCTGTCTAAATAATATTTAGAATACTCACTTGAAATGTGTTAAAAAATTTACATCAGTTTAAAAAATTTCAAAAAACATGAGATGACTTAAAATATGTCAAATAACGGACTTACCATGATCCGAACACTAGTTTCGCTTTATTTCAACAAATTTAAAAAAGAGCAAAATATAAAAATCTTTGTTTTGAGTTAACGATTTAAAAAACAAAAGAAAAAAAAAGACAGGGAGGGATCTAATTAGTTTTTTCTTTAATAAGTTTTTTTTTTTTTTTTTTTTTAGACCGTTCGCAGCTTTTTAGGACTCTTGCTCCGTTAATTTTGAAGAAAGTTAAAGCTTAGATGAAAAATCTTTTTCTATAAGAAAGAAATTTATCTCTATAATGCGCAGGCTTAACTAATTACATAAGCACAATAATAACGTAAGTATCTCTATCATGACGTCGCAAAAGGTGTTTTCATGTTTTTGGAAAATTTAAAAAACTTTTAAAAATTTTTTCTCCCTTTCGTTTGTTGTAGTATGTAATATCTTTATATAAGTTATGCATATTGTATCCATAGGCTTTATAAAATGTTTTACTTTGCTTTTTAAAAAATTAGGAAAGATTAAAAAAAAAATTAAGCGTGTAAGCAAAAGAATTTGAACCCACACAAAGCACTTCAACCACTTTGACATGCCTTATCATCTTTTAAAACTGTTTAATAAACCAAAGACTTTATAAAATTTCCCTAAAAGTAAATCTGTAAAATTTGATATAATTTACAAAACTTGAAGTTTACACATTAGATTTTTTTTTTGTCAATTTATTTGCCTTCAATAAAAGGAACTACAATTACAGAATAGTTTTATCACAAATATAATCGGCAAGACTTTAAGAAGACTATACGATCTTATCGTGAAGCCCTTTACAATATCAAATACAATAGTAATAATAATAAAATCAAATTAACCAATAAAAATAAATCAACATCAACTATATATAACTGTGCATTTAAAATATAAATATACTGAATAAATTATATAAAATATATGACACAAAAGAACTAAAAATCAAGAAAAAATATTTTCTGCTGAAAAGATAACTTATTTTAATTTTAGTTTGAAAGAATTTAAAGTCCATTTCAATGACAAATCAAAATTTGGCAAAACTTTTTTATTCCATGAATAAGGACCGCGATGAGAAATAATTAGTTGTTCAAATTTAGTTTGGCAGAATGGTTCTTTTAGATTTTTTCCTTTGCGAAGATTGTATTTGCTTATGGGTTTTACATTATAAAGGTTTATTGATATTTGCGTAGACTTTCGTTCAAATAGATAAAATAAAAATCATTACAAGTTGTGGTTTTAAAAAAATACCTATAACTTTGTAAAATAAAAGATATTTTTACTTACGCATTAACAAATTAACAAAACATGACAATTATCAATAGTTTTTAACTGTGTCTATTTTGAACAAACACATCATCTGATTAATCTAAAAAGTTTAAAAAAAGGAAAAAATATACCAAGTATTAACTGGAAGTCAATTTATTTATACATAATAACAAAACGATATAATAAAAAAATGTTTTATTTAGTAATGAAAAAAATTAACTACCTCTGCATCATCAATTAACAATTAGTGACCTGAGTGCTTATTTATATCAACTTCATTTTAAAATGTTAAAAGAGCTTTTTCGCGTTAATATCTAAAAATAAAAATAAAACTATTTTTTTATTTTTTTAATTTTTTTTTTTTATAAATGATTAGTAACTTTAATAGCAAATAATACTTTCAATAGTTATTATTAAAATTTAAAATTTATTGCATAAATAGTTGTTACCTTTATAGCATCACTAAATATTTTCTCCCAGCATTTTAAAATGGAGATTGAATAAATAAGCCCTCGGGTGATTAACCAAAAATACTAATTAACGTCAATTTTACGATCTATAAAATTACCAAGATTTACATCATCTATAAAACTGAATACGTTTCATTAAGTAAAACATTTAAAAATTAAACTTAACTAACTTTTAATAACTTTTTTTTTTTTTTGTGTAATTTATTTCGCCGTTAAAAAATTTTTACATTACATATACATATATCAAAAACAATGGCTGGAACAAGAAGAAGGCACAGTTTGCCTTATCGCCGAGCCCCATATACAAAAAAAAAATTCTTCATAACCGTAATCTTCAAATATATATAAAAACATAAATCAGAATTTAATAGAAAATAACTAAGAAAATAAAGAAATTCAAAATAGCAAATAACAGATAATAAAGTGTTGAAATGCTTACAACCGCTAAAATATTTAAGACTCTCTTAAACAAAAATTTTAGAATAAAAAAGGAACAATTTAAAATTTCATAATTAACATAATCACAAGATGAATTTTTAATAACATCACTTAAATTTCATTGATTTAAACTTGTTTTATTTGGTTAAGCTTTCTTTAAAAGAAACATTTAAAGTCAGATAAATTCCCTGAACAGTAATGATCTTTTTGATTAATTTTTAAATTTTTCTAATGATGTCTTGTTTTTGTTGACAATCTCTGGGATTTTTTTCCACAGATAAGGTCCGCGGTATTTAATTGAATAGGAGGTTAATTTTAAGTTATATTTGAGAAGAGCATCTTGTTATGTAAAAATTTTTTAAATATTTATGATTAATTTTTTTTTAAATAAGTTTGAAAAATTTTGGGTGACGATCTCATTTTTGCTTTAAACATAAACAATAAAATTTGTTATAAATTGAGCCTATACACATTTAATGCACCGAGTGCACGTAAAAGTGGTTCACAAGGAGTATTTCTGTAGGCTCCAAACACTATTCTGCATGGATGCTTTTGTTTGTTGTAGATTTTCTAGTTTTGTATAGCCAGCACTAGCCCACACAATATTACAGTAAGACAAATAACTGTGAATAAAGGAAAAATACAGTTTTTTTAGGGATGCTGCATTTAGAAAATGTTTAGCCTTAAACATCATTGCGATATTTTTTGAGAGTGTTGTTTTAATACTATTTATTTGTGAATACCACAGTAAATTTTCATCCAGTTTTACTCCTAAAAAATTTACGTATATTTCTCTTTTGATATTAGTACCCAGCAAACATGTAAGCGTTAAATCAACGTTGAAAACTAGTCGCAGCGTAGAAAAAGCGTTACAGTCACAAAAACAACGCGCTTTCAGCGTTGAATCAATGTCTGTTTTTGTATACTAAATTGCGGTAAATTGAAACGTTGAATAAGCGTTGAAATTGTAACGTAATTTAGCCTCTCTAAATAAAACGTTTATTTAACGTGGAATCCACTTAGGCAAAAAGCCACTTTAAAAACGTTTCGAAGTATATTCTTTATCAACGTTAAAAACAAACCGCTTTTTAAACGTTACATTTTCAACGTTGAATAAGCGTATAAATTTAAACGTATCTTACCTTCTCAAAAAAATGCGTTTATTAAACGTTGAAAATAAGTACCCAAATAATCACTGTAAAAACGTCGCAAAGGTAATGGTTTATCAACGTTAGACATTAGCTGCTTTTTCAACGAATTTAAACTGTTTGAAAAACAACACTTATTCAACGTTATTTCAACGTTGGATAAAAATGTGGTAATTAAAAAACGTTGAAAAAGTGTTACTTTGCCAACGTTAGTAAAACGTTGTTTTGACAATGTTGAGGAAGTGGCACATTAAAAATTATTGCCTCAATAACTAGCCATTACAAAAATAATTTGCCATAATGGAAAGGCAAGGAAAACTTAATAGAATGTATGCATATGGTATAAAATTTTTTTTAATAAAGTTATATTTTATAGCCTATTTTATTGCAACTAATTTAAAACTTTTAGATTTTATATCAAAATGTATATAAAGTACATAAATCTCAGGGTAAATTCGATTTATTCAGCTTATTTTTGTAAATGTTTTATTTTGTTTTAAGTTGACGATTTTAATAAAATGCTCAACTTTTTTAAATATTTCTTTCTAAGTTAGAAATAGTACTTAGTTTTAATACGAGTCACATTTATAAAATATTATCAAAATTAATAAAACATAATAAGTCAGACTAAATTAAGTTTGTTAACAGAATAAATTTTTTAATTTATTTAAAAATTGTCATTTATACATACATACATACATATATATATATATATGTATATATATATATATATATATATATATATATATATATATATATATATATATATATATATATATATATATACATATATATATATATATATATATATATATATATATATATATATATATATAATATATATATATATATATATATATATATATATATATATATATATATATATATATATATATATATATATATATATATATATATATATATATATATATATATATATATGTATATATATATATATATATACGTGTATATATATGTGTGTGTGTGTATATATATATATATATATAAATATATATATATATATATATAAAAATATATATATATATATATTTATATATATATATATATATATATATATATATATATATATATATATATATACATAAACATATATATATATATATACATATATATATATGATTTAAAGGATAACATCTTGTGTGAGAGTATATTTATATATTATTTTAAAACATCAAAAATACGATTTCTCTCAACACTTATAATTTTTTATTAATATAGAAATTTTCGCTGGATTTTAGATACCAGCTTCTTCAGCTTGTTAAATGTTACAGTAATTAATAAAATCGTTATAATTTAAATTAAAACGTTGCTATTGACGTCAGCGGTTGAATGGCTTCTTTTTCGCTGAAATTTAAAAAATGGCGTCCAAAACTTAGTTTTTACGTATTGACCCTCATCGAGATTAATCCCGCCATTTTTTGCAGAACACATGTTTTTTTGTATTTCTAGGGCTTCCCTAACTTTTCTTTCAAATTTTTTATTTTCTACTTTTAATGTTTTTGTTTGTTCCCAAATAATTTCTTTTTTGCAAAATGTTTTATGCAGAGCTAATGCGGATTGATGCTGCTTATTTTCATCAATGCTTTTTTGGTGTTGATGCATTCGTGTGTTTACTTTCATTTTTGTTTCGCCTACATACACTTTTGAACAGTTGCATTTGATTATATATGTTCCCGGTTGACTGTTATTAGGTAGTTTTGATTTATTTTTTGATGTTAACAGGGATCTTAAGTTTGGGTTTGATTTGAATACCGCTCTGTAAGCAGCTTTTCGGAATATTTTCCTAAGTTTTGGTGAGAGACCGGGTACCCATGGTAAGGAAACTACAGGATAATTATTGATTTCAGATGGAATTGTAATTTTATTTTGTCTTTTGTGTTGAAACTGATGCGCAATATTCATCATTTGAGTTTTATCGTAACCATTTTCAATAAACACGTCGATTAGAAAATTTATTTCATTTTGCAAGTAAGACTTACTACAGATTGAGTAAGCTCGGTGGAGAAATCCTTTAAAAATAGAGTTCAAGATATTTGGATCATGATTTGAGTGTGGCTTAATTTGAATGTTAGTGATAGCATCTTTCCGATATACTGCGTATTCATACTTTCCTGTTTTTTTATTCATAATTTGTATATCCAGATAATTTAGTGTTCCTAACTCGTTTTCAACTTCAATTGTATACTGGATGGAAGGATGTTGTTGATTTAAAATGTATTGGAAATGTTTTGCTTGGTTGAGATCTGGAAACCTTGCGTGACTATCATCGACATATCTTAAGAACGATTTGAGGTTAAGTGCAGGGTTGAAATTTAGTGCAACTTTAATTGCATTGTTTTCATGGAATTGTAGAAATGATTCTGCAAGAACGACCATGAACGAAAGTCCAATTGGACCCGAGTTTTCCATTATATGAATTTCATTGTTCCAATAAAAATAACATTGAAATAAACAAAGTTCTATAAGTTGTTTTATCTCAGGTATACTTAGTCTTGTTAGTTTTTTATATGTTGTATTATTATTTAATTTTTCTATAAGTACAAGGGTGGCTTCTTTTAAAGGAACCGACGGATACAGATTTACGACATCAAAAGATACCTGAACTTCATCATTGTCAATTTTCCAAGATTCAGCTTTTTTAATAAAGTCAAAAGAATTTTTTAATCTTGTCAAGTTTTCATTCAAAACTGGTTGTATTATCTTAACTAAGAACTCAGATATTCCGTAGTTTGCTGTGCCGATTGTGGAGATAATTATTCTCATAGGATAGAATTTTTCAGGTTTGTGGGCTTTGATTACACCATACATACGATGCGGGATGGGATCACTAGGATATATTTTTTCGTATTCCTCTTTTGAAAAACAGTTTCTTTTATTTAGTTTTGAAAGACATCTACGAATTTTAGCCGCGTAATTTGCAGTAGGGTCTTCACTTACTGTTTTTGTTGGGCCTATTTGTTCGCGAATTTTTTCCAAGGCTTTTGAATGTTCGATTCGTACAAAACCTGTCCCTTTGTCGAATGGATATATGTCAAGATTAAAAAATTCTTTTGACTTTATTAAAAAAGCTGAATCTTGGAAAATTGACAATGATGAAGTTCAGGTATCTTTTGATGTCGTAAATCTGTATCCGTCGGTTCCTTTAAAAGAAGCCACCCTTGTACTTATAGAAAAATTAAATAATAATACAACATATAAAAAACTAACAAGACTAAGTATACCTGAGATAAAACAACTTATAGAACTTTGTTTATTTCAATGTTATTTTTATTGGAACAATGAAATTCATATAATGGAAAACTCGGGTCCAATTGGACTTTCGTTCATGGTCGTTCTTGCAGAATCATTTCTACAATTCCATGAAAACAATGCAATTAAAGTTGCACTAAATTTCAACCCTGCACTTAACCTCAAATCGTTCTTAAGATATGTCGATGATAGTCACGCAAGGTTTCCAGATCTCAACCAAGCAAAACATTTCCAATACATTTTAAATCAAC